CTCATGCTGGGTGAGGCCACTCAGGCTGGGTGAGGCCCCCCATGTTGGGTGAGGCCCCCTCAGGCTGGGTGAGGCCCCCTCAGGCTGGGTGAGGCACCCCTCAGGCTGGGTGAGACCCCCTCAGACTGGGTGAGGCCCCCCCTCAGGCTGGGTGAGGCCTCTTGTCATGTAGGTGAGGCCCCCTCAGGCTGGGTAAGGCCCCACATGCTGGGTGAGGCCCTCCATGCTGAGTAAGGCCCCCCTCAGGCTGGGAAGGCCCCCCTCAGGCTGGATGAGGCCCCCCTCAGGTTGAGTAAGTCCCTCTCAGGCTGTGTGAGACCCCTCATGCTGGGTGAGGCTCCTTGTCATGTGGGTGAGGCCCCCTCAGGCTGTGTGACGCCCCCCATGCTGGGTGAGGCCCCTTGTCATGTGGGTGAGGCCCTTCTCAGGCTGGGTGAGGCCCCCCTCAGGCTGGGTCAGGCCCCCTCAGGCTGGGTCAGGCCCCTCTCAGGCTGGGTGAAGCCCCTCCTCAGGCTGGGTGAGACCCCTTGTCATATGGGTGAGGCCCCCCATGCTTGGTGAGGCCCCTCATGGTGGGTGAGGCCCCCTTCAGGTTGAGTGAGGTCCCCTCAGGTTGAGTGAGCCCCCCTCAGGCAAGGTGAGGCCCCTTGTCATGTGGGTGAGGCCTCTCATGCTGGGTGAGGCCCTGCATGCTGGGTGAGGCCCCCCCATTCTGGGTAAGCCCTCCCTAGGCTGTTGTGGCTCCCCTCAGGCTGGATGAGGCCCCCCATGCTGGGTGAGGCCCCCCTCAGGCTGGGGAGGCCCCCTCAGGTTGAGTGAGTCCCCCTCAGGCTGGGTGAGGTCCCCTCAGGCTGAGTGAGGTCCCCCTCAGGCTGGTTTAGGTCCCTCCATGCTGCCCCTCATCTCTCCTTGTACAGAGACAATGTCTGTGGATTCGAGTCTGCCCAGCCCCAACCAGCTGAGCAGCCCCAGCCTGGGTTTTGACGGGCTCCCCGGCCGAAGACGCAAGAAGAGGACCAGCATTGAGACAAATGTCCGCTTCGCCTTAGAGAAGAGTTTTCTAGCGGTGAGGCCCCACACAGCTGCCAGGTGCCTCGGGGTGGTGGGGGAGCAGCCAGGCTGACTGTGAGTGCCCCTCTCCTGCCTGCAGAACCAGAAGCCTACCTCAGAGGAGATCCTGCTGATCGCAGAGCAGCTGCATATGGAGAAGGAAGTGATCCGCGTCTGGTTCTGCAACCGGCGCCAGAAGGAGAAACGCATCAACCCCTGCAGTGCGGCCCCCATGCTGCCCAGCCCTGGAAAGCCGGCCAGCTACAGCCCCCACCTGGTACCCACAGCCCCCACCCCTTGGCACATACCCCGCCAGAGGCTCAGCCTGCCTGCTGTCCACAGTGGTCCCAAGGTTGCAGCACAGTCATGCAGGCGTGCGCAGCCTCTCCCGGGGGGATATGGGCATCCACAAACACTCAGTCACGGGGACAGCCAACTACAGAGACACCATCAGGTAGGGGTGCAGATACTCAGGACAGAGAGAGGCACTTAGTCACCCCGCGGTAACATAATTTACAGCCATTGACGGTGGTTAAGCTCGGCTGCTAACCCTAAGGTCAGTGGTTTGAGCCCTCCAGCCACTCCGTGGAAGAAGAAAGAGGCAGTGTGCTCTGTGAAGATGGCGGTCTTGGAAACCGCAGGGCTCTGCTCTGACTGATGGGGTTGCCTTGGAACCAATGCAGCAGGAAAAGGTTTGGGTTTTGAGACCGCCTGGCCTACACTCAGGCCCACATGCAGCCCCGCTGGGTATCCTTTACCCAGTCTAGTGTGCTGTGACTTGGAGAAGCAAGGGATGCAGGGGAACCCTTCTCCAGCCGGTGTGGAAAGGAGGTACCCCCTGAGCAGAGTGTTCAAAGACAAGGAAGAGCTGGCCATCTCTGCAAAGGAGGGCGAGAAGGGCGCCTAAGTTATGCTAAGGAGGATTTATTTCTGTTTTAGGGTTTTTTTCTTTGCTTGATATAAGGGGTTTTGTTAATTAACTTTAATGAAAGTTTACAGAGACTTAGGGTTTCTATTCATTCATTGTGGCACTTTTCTCCCTGCCCACCCCTTTCCCCCTAATTCACTCTTCTCCTTGAAAAGTAAAAGAAAAACACTTTCATTGTTGTGCAATCCCTCCCCCCAAGTCCACTCTGCTGTGCAGCCTTCATTCTGAACTCCTGTCATGACAATAATACACAATCATATCCCTTTTAAACAGTGCTCTCCCTCATCTGTTTCAGTGCAGTATACATCATTCCTCCCCTCCTTCTCTGCCTTCCCTGATGTCAGTCCTGTTTTACAACAGTGGCCCTAGGCAATATATGTCCTTTGGTGACAGATATTTCACTCAGCATAATGTCCTCCAGGGTACATTTTCTTTTGTCCTTAATCACAATTCTCACAATCACACAATCCTTGTTGTAAATCTCATTCATTTCCCCTGAGCCTTCGCCCTCCCCATTCCAGCTTGTTGTTATGTGTCAGCTCATAGTGACTCTGTATACCTTTCTAAACCTTGCCCTAACCTGAGCCAGTTTCACTGACTCCGACACACCTAATCCCATTGCCCCAGTTAACATGTCAATGCATCTCTTCCTCTCCTGCACTGTCCCTCTACCCCTCCAAGCATGATGTCCTTCTCCAAGGACTGGTTCCTCTTGGCCATGTGCCCAAAGTATGTGAGACAGAGCTTTAAACTCCTAGCCTCCAGGAAGAAACTTGGTTTAACCTTCTCCAAGACAGATCTATTTGTTTTCTTGGCAGTCCATGGTATGTTCAAGACTCTTCTCCAGCACCACAACTCAAAGACATCAATTCTTCTGTCATCCTTAGTCATTATCCAGCTTTCTGATGCATAGCAAGTAATTGTAAAGACCATGGCCTGAATCAGACATGCCTTATTCTCTAGACTGACATCATTGCTTCTCAGCACTCACTCTGGGGAGGTCCCTGACAGCAGACTTTTCCAATGCAATTTGCTTTTTTATTTCCTGACTGCTGGTGCCAAGAGTGTTGATTGTGGTGCTGAAATCGTTAACAACCTCAATCTCTTCTCCATCCATGAGCTCTTTTGATCTTATCGGTTGGTTCTTTTGAGCTGGGGAAGCACAAGGCCAAATCTCAAGTGACTAAGGAGGCAGCAGTGGGATGGTCTCAGGAAATCTTAACCATCTGGAGACACAGATTGTTCTGTGTGCACTCTCTCTCTCCCCCCCCAATTCTGTACGTGCACTCTGTCTCTCCCCTCCCCCGTTCTGTACGTGCACTCTGTCTCTCTCCCCTCACCCCATACACACGTGCACATGCACGCGTGTGAAACACCCCCCCCCAGATCTGCTGGCCCCTTGCTTCAGTCACTACGAGCAGTTTCTCTTAGAAGGACAGTGTTTAGGATTCTCGCCCTTATAGCACTGATGACCCCAGAGGCGCTGGTCCAGTGTGACCAGGACAGGAAGGTGTTACACAGTAGGGTTAGGCCTACCCTGAACTGCGCGTTTCTTCCCAATGACAGTGACTGCTGCAGGTATTTGGCAGATGGCACAGGGCCAGATAGGGTTTCCTTCTGAGGCACCTCCCAACGATAACAAGGGCAATGTGGGAGCTCTGGTGGTGCTGCGGCTAAGGTATTTGCCACTCACCAAATGGCTGGTGGTTCAGATCCACCAGATTGCTCCACAGGAGGAAAATGTGGTAGTCGACTACTGTAAAGGTTGTTCTATGCCATCAATTTGGAGCTGACTCATAGCTCACTCTCTAGCAGGTTTTCAGAATGACTGAAACAGTACATCGACAGAGAACTACCAGAAATACAAGCTGGGTTTAGAGGAGGCCATGGCACTAGGGACATTATTGCCAGTGTCAGATGGATCTTTACTGAAAGCAGAGAGTAGCAGAGGCATGTCTGTGTTTCATTGACTATGCAAAGGCATTTGACTGTGTGAATCATAACAAATTGCGGCTAACCGTGAGAAGAATGGGAATCCCAGAGTACTTATTTGTGCTCACACGAAACCTATTCTTGGACCAGGAGACAGTCATCAGAACAGAACAAGGAAACGCTGCGTGGTTCACAATCAGGAAAGGAGTGTGTCAGGGATGAGTTCTGTTCCCATACCTTTTCAAACTATATGCAGAAAAGATCATTCAGGAGGCTGGACTTTATGAGGAAGAGTGTGGCATCAGGATTAGAGGAAGACACATCAACGAACAGTGCTATGCAGGTGACACAACCTTATTTGCCTAAACTGAGGAGGACCTGAAGCATTTGCTGCAGATAGTCAAGGATGGTAGTCTTCAATATGGATTGAAGCTCAACATAAAAAAAAAAAACAACACCACCAAAAACAAAGATTCTCACTACTGGGTCAAACGGCAGCACCATGATACTGGGAGAAGGGATTTAGGTTGCTAACGATTTCAGCTTGCTTGGTTCCACAATCAGTACATTTTGGGATTAGCAGTCATAAAGTCAAAAGATGAATTGCATTAGGGAAATCTGCTGTCAGGGACCACTTCAGAATTTTAAAGAACAATTAATATCAGTCTAGAGATTAAGGTGCACCTTATCCAGGCCATGATCTTCACAGTTACTTGCGATGCATCAGAGAACTGTACTGTGACTAAGGATGATAGAAGAATTGATGCCTGTGAGTTGTGCTGGAGAAAAGTATTAAACATAACATAGACTGCCAATAGAACAAACAGGTCTGTCTTGGAGAGGGTGAAACCAGGCTGCTCCTTGGAGGCAAGGATTTTGAAATTCTGCCTCATGTACTTTAGAAATGTTACCAGGAGGGTCCGGTCCTTGGAGAAGGACATCATACCTGGAAGGGTGGAGGGACAGTGCAGGAGAGGAAGACGCTGAAGGAGATATATTGATATAACAACTGGGATAATGGAGGTAGTTATGTTGGAGACAGTGAGACTGGTTTAGGATAGAGGGGGGTTCAGAGCTATTGTACATAGGGCTGCTATGAGTTGAAGGCAACTCGGTGACTCATAATAACAATAAATCACATGGAAGGAGATTGCCCAGCTTTCTCCCGAGAAGAAACTAGTGATTTGAAATACCTTTGGGTTGGCAATATAATTTCCTACCACTAGGGCACCACAACTCCCTTCGGTGGTATTACAGCCCTGGAGATCCTGCAAGGCAGTTTCACTCTGTCCTAAAAGATGGCTGTGAGTCAGACTTGAGGGGACAGTGACAGGTTTTAGGGTGAATGTGAAAAAACACAAGGTGAAAAGCATATGGCATAATACAAGTATATGCATAGAGCTTTGTACCCTGAGTCCTCCTCCCCTCTCCTGGCTGGCCCAGCCCTCGGGGACACCAGACGATTGCCTGGAGGCAGTGGCCTAACTAAGTGTCCTTTCCTCTCTCCCCAGGTTACACCCCAAGGGGGCGCAGGGACCTTGCCGTTGTCCCAAGCTTCCAGCACTCTGAGCACAACAGGTCAGGGAGGGCAGAGGCCGGGGAGGGGGGCATGGGAGGAGGTGGAGCGGGCTGGGAGCCGAGCTGCTCACTGGCTCTGGGCGCCCATGGGCTTGGGGTGATAGGGCATGGGGAGGGCAGCCACTCAGCCGGAGCAGCTCAGCTGTGACCTGCTCCAGGACCTTGGCTGGTGCTCACCCCAGCCTCTCATTTTACAAGCCATGTGAATGCAAGAAGTTACTTTACCTCTCTGAACCCCAGTTTGTATAAATTTATTGTGAATTTGTAAGACAGAAGACGAATGTTTGTGGTGTGAACTGTTAACACGCTTGGCTGCCAACCCAAAGGATGGATGTCTGAGTCGGAAGGAAAGCCTGGGAAACCGCTTCCAAAACTTGGCCAGTAGAAAGCGGACGGAGCACAGTGGCCTGACCCTCCATGGTCAGGGGGGACCATGAGGTGCCAGGCTTTGTATTGGTTCACTGTGCGCGGAGTCTCCGTGTGCTGGGGGCTGACTTGACAGCTGCTAATAACCTAGTGGCACACTGGTTAAGCACTTGTCTCCTAACTGACGGATCAGTGGTTTGAACCACCAGCAGCTCTCCAGGAGAAAAGAGCTGGCTGCTTGTTCCCATGTAGATCACAGCTTGAGAAACCCTATGGGGCAGTTCTGCTTTGTCATGGCTGGTGACTGTGAGTAATAAGCCTACTGAGTGGCCCACAACAATACATGTATTTTGTGTATATATATAGTGAAGGGCGCTCTGGTGGCCTAGGGGGTAGGGAGGTGTACTGCTAACCCAAAGGTGGCATCTTGCTGGTGGTTCAAGTCCACCAGCGGCAACACAGAAGAATGACAGGCAGTCTCCTCCCGCATGACCCCTGGAGGGTCGCTATTAATCAGTTCCAACTTGACAGCAATGAGCTGAGTTGATTATTCTATATGCTGTGTATGTTACACATTCACAAACATAAACATATACACACACATATACTCTTGTGTTCAGCCCATTTCCAGGGATTGGACATGCTTAATGTTGTATATGAAACTCCAAACCCTCTATTAGGTTTCTGAGGTGTAGATCTTAATGGGAGCAGACTGCCTCATTGTCCTCCTGTGCAGCAACTAGAAGACACGAACCACTGACCTTCTGATTAACAGCTAGACACATAGGCCACAATGCCCCTGGCACCCCTAACACTATATATATCCAAATATAAACCCAAACCCACTACTATCAAGTCAAGTCCAAGCCGTAACAAGGCTTGTTCAAGTTTCTGAGGCTGTGAATCTTTACCAGAGAGCCCTGGTAGATTCAAAGCTCCTGCGTTCTAGTTAGCAGCCTGACACATTACACACCACACCACCAGGGCTCTGTGTGCATATATGCATATGTGTAAATAAAATCAAGAAGAATGTCTGCCTCGACACAGGGTAAGAAATTAGTTAAGTAGCCATCAGTAATTAGTAAGTGAATTAGTAAGTCAGTCCTCAGGGATCCTGTGGCTCCCTTTTGTCTGCAAGGTTCAAACCCACCAGCAGTCTGCTTTCTGGAAACCCTACGGGGCAGTTCTAAATCAAGGTACCTGGCATCTTTCTAAGCTCTTTGTAAAGTACAGTCGTCACACCTATTTGATGTTGGGCATCTTAACATCCCCATTTTCTACATGTGGGAACTGACGGCCAGAGAGGTAAAGGCACTTGCCCAGCGGCATAGCGAGGACCTGACTGGGCTAGGACTTTCCACCCTCGCATGCAGTTGGGGACCTCAGGTGGGACGCTCAGCGAGGGCGTCTCCAGCCCTGTGCTGTGCACACGCGTCCCCGACCCTCACCGCTAGAGGGAACCGCAGGCCCGCGTCTGTGCCTGCCTCCTCCCTCGCTGCTGCTACGGGTATCTGCGTTTTTGGGGGTGGAGGTCCATGGTTCGAGCACCGGCAGCGCACCGGGCAGGAACGCGCTGCGACCATTAGGATTACTGTCATCGTGGTCGGGGCACCAAGAAAAGGCTCTGGGAGCGGAGCCGAGGGGGGTCTGGTCTCTGAGGGGGCTGCGTGCGCTGGGCGGGTGTAAGCTCAAGTCTCCATCTCTCTGTCTTTCTCTGGCAGTTACTACCTTATCCTCAGCTGTGGGGACGCTGCACCCCAGCCGGACAGCTGGAGGGGGTGGGGCCGGGGGCGGGAGCGCGCCCCCTCTCAATTCCATCCCCTCTGTCACTCCCCCACCCCCGGCCACCACCAACAGCACAAATCCCAGCCCTCAAGGCAGCCACTCAGCTATCGGCTTGTCGGGCCTGAACCCCAGCACGGGGTAAGTGGGCAGCTGTAGGTGGGGGTGGGGCGGGGCTGTGGGGAGAAGCCAGGCTGCTGCTGCTTCCGAGGATGGGCGCAGCACCCCAGTCCCGCTAATGCCTCTGCTTTGCCTCCTGCAGAAGCACAATGGTGGGGTTAGGCTCCGGGCTGAACCCAGCCCTCATGAGCAACAACCCTTTGGCCACCATCCAAGGTGCGTGCTGCCTCTTGTCCCACTCATCATCACCAGCCCCCCATTGCTGCTCCAGCCATGCCATCTCTCCCCTGCTCGCCGCATCCGCTCACCTCTTCATGCCTGTCTCACTTCTAGGGGAGGTGTGAGGGGAGCTGCTGGAGGGATCGGTGGGAAGGGCGCTCTGGGCAGGATGCTGCCCAGCCCGTGCACCCCCAACCTGGCCTCTCTCTCTCCCCACCAGCCCTGGCCTCTGGTGGAACCCTGCCCCTTACCAGCCTTGATGGCAGCGGGAACCTGGTGCTGGGGGCAGCCGGCGCAGCCCCGGGGAGCCCCGGCCTGGTCACCTCACCGCTCTTCTTGAACCACGCGGGGCTGCCTCTGCTTAGCGCCCCGCCCGGCGTGGGGCTGGTCTCTGCAGCCGCTGCGGCTGTGGCGGCCTCCATCTCCAGCAAGTCTCCTAGCCTCTCATCTTCCTCGTCCTCCTCATCCTCCTCATCTTCCTCGTCCTCCTCCTCCACTTGCAGCGAGGTGGCAGCACAGACCCCCGGAGGCCCAGGGGGACCAGAGGCTGGATCCAAGCCCGAGTGAGGGCCTTCGGGCCTCCCTCCTGTTCCTCTGACCCCGCCTAGGTGACCTGCCTGCAAAGAGGGCAAGGAGACCAGCGGTCAGGGTGTTCAGAGGATCCCCAAAGCTGGAGAGACAAGGGAGGAAAGACCAAAAAATCCCCCAACACAACCAAAAAACCCCCCCAAACCAACCAACAAACCAAAAAGAATTGCAACAGAAACCAGCTGCCGCAAAGGAACCAGAGGTGAAAACCAAAACAAAATAACCCTCACCAAACCAAAAACCAAACCAAAAACCAGTCTCGAGCCAGACCTCAATGTGCTCACTGCTGACACCAAATACGAACCCAGCCAGGGGCCAGAGAGCCTCCAGTGGACCTCACTGAGGCCCTGGCAGTGGAGCTCGCCCCTCGCCTGCTCCCCCACTGGGGGCCGGAGAAGGCAAAGGAGAATGTGCTGGCTCCCTGGCCCCAGCTTAGGCCTGCAAAGACGGGGGCGCCGCCTGCGTCAAGATGGAGTGGGGCTTGGAGCCACCCACCCAATGTTCTTTTCCAGAAGTGATGGAGAAAGGGCCTGAACAACCTTACACCAAATATTCAGTAGCTTCATCCAAAGGATGTACAGAATTTTTAGCGTTGCGCTCAACCGAATGTGTTCCTACCCAGTGTCCCCTCTCCCCAAACCCTCAGCTTTCCCCACCTGGGTTGGGGGTTCTTGTTTGAACCTCTTCACTCCTCCCAGACAGAGGAGTGTTCAGGGGGAAACCTGGGGAGACTTTTCACTCCCCCACCTCTTTCCTTTACCCTCGGAAAGGTGGGCTAGGCCAATTTGCCAAGTTCTAGCTCTCGTATGTTGCCCCCACCCCCACTTTATCATCCTCCTCTACTCTGGAATTTAATCCCCTCCCCAAACTCTAGGGAGGTGAGGTTCCAGATGTGAGGGGGATAGGTGAGGGCATTTGATTTGTCTTCCCCCCCCATCCTTGTCTGTCAGTTTCCCTGAAAGAAAAAAAAATTCATATTCCAGTGCCTATCCGTGGGATCCTTCTTCACGTTCTTTGACGTTAACCAGAAACCAAAAAAGAGAACTCACCTCACTCTTCCTGCCCCGCATCCCCCAACACTGGCAGATGCCTCTTCCTCGCCCCCCTCCACGCACACACGCACGCACCCCGAGATGGGCTTTCTGAGGTGGCTTCTCCATCAGCGTCCACATGGCGGGGACAGTGCCATGACCTGTGAAAGGGCACCATGGCAGCCATCACTCCCACAAGAACTGCCTGGAGTCTGGGCGGGACTCTGTCCGCCCCGGTTTCACCCCCATGGTGGACAGAGGACAGACGTCATTGTCATTGCTGGAAGCCACCTCGCCTTCCTACTGTTGTTGGAGGGCAGCAGAGTTTTGAACCAAAAACAAAACCAAGCAAACAATAAATTAAAACTAAAAAAAAAAAAAGAATTTATAGATAGATATATATATATTTAAGAGAAAGAAGACAAGGACTCTTGGAGAATGAGAAGGCGCCGCAGGGTGGTCCAGGCCTTGGGCCCCACGCGGATGGAAGGCTGGAAGCTTCTTTCTCTTCACAAATACCTCATGGACGTCGTCTTCGGGAAAGCCGGAGGGGGTGTGGCTGGGGCAAAGCCTGTCCCTCAGCCTGGGTGATGGACACGGGTGGGCGGGGCTGAGAGTAGGTGTCAGGGACTGGGGTGAAACAGCCCCGAACTTCCCGCCCCCCCAATCAACTGAAAAAGCTTTAAAGGAAAAAAAGAATAAGGAAGCAAAAAGAATGGACGAAGGAAAACAACATACTCTTTCGGGTGGTTCGATTCCCCTTTTGATGTCTTTTTCTGTTCACGCTGTCCCCCTCCCACCCCCTTTCTCTCTCTTCTCCCTCTTTGTTCTCTCTTCTCAATCTTTTTCTGTGTCTCTCCTCAAACCAAAGTGTTGCTGTGAAGGACACGAGCCATTGAAATCAGAGTGGAGCCCGCTGCCAGGTGGCACGTACCCTGGGTGGCAGGAGCAGAGGGAGGGGCTAGCTGGGAGCTGGCACTGTCCAGTCCCAGAGAACCCCCACTCTCTGCTGGACACTAGAGGAGAGAAGAGCCTCCGATGTCACCCTGGGCCCTGAGGCCTCAGCGTTCTCGTTTCCTCATCTCCCTTCTCCCACCTGTGGGCAGAAACTGCTGGGGGCCTCGGGTGCCTTGTCTGGCCGAGGTGGAGTCGCCACCCTGCCCAGCCCTGGCACCAATGGGGTCTGACACCCCATCCTCGCTGGAATGTAAGCATCTCTGCTGACCCAACTCCTTGCCCTCACCCTACCTCTGAGTTTGTCCATTTTGATTTCCTGAAGAGAGAAGGAACTGGCGAGAGAGCCTGGGCCCCAGCCCAAGGGTGGAGAGGTGGCCAAGGGCTCCTGACCAGAAAGAAGGACAGCTGAGCCGAGCGGAACGAACCAAAAGTCCGATGGAAAACCCCTCCGAGAAGACAGGCAGCACGGAAGGCATGGTGGAGATGACTCAGAAACTGATTCTAGACCAAAAAAAAAAAAAGGAAAGCAAATCCAGGACTCACCACCACCCACTTCACCCTGCTTTGTCCCCATCAAGTCCTGCCGCCTGGACCTCTCCCCACCCTGGTGAGGGGGGAGTGGGGCAGAGAGCAGAAGAGGAAGCAGGGGCAGGGATGGGGCAGATGCCCTGATGTTGGTGGAGGGACCCCCGTGCAGCCGGGGGTGGTGGGGGCCCTCCCCATTCAACCCCTACACTGGGAAAAGAAGAGAAAAAAAATTCCCGGGAGGGGAAAAAAAAAAATAACCAAATCCCAAGCTTTAACTACAGCTGTGAAACCAAATATTGGGAAGGGGGTGGGTGGGACGGAGGGGCCAGGATGCCCCAGGTCTGCCCCCTGGGCCCCTCTTCCCCCGAGGACTCGAGATAAGGCACCAAATACCTCATAGAACTTTAATGTTAAAAAAAGGAAACCAAATATCATTGGCTGGGGGCCAGCCAGGGCAAGGGGCTGGGGGGCTGGGGGAGCCAGGGTCGGGAAGGTGATGGGGGATTTCAGGCCCCCCACCCCCCTCTGTCCCTTCCACTCCAGTCCCCCGTCTCGACTCCGGGAAACAAAACTATCTCATTGTTTTTATTTTGTGGTCTGTACAGAGCCTGTGTCCGTGTGTCTGTGTGTGTGAGCGAGAGAGTTGGGGGTGGGGGGCTAGGGATGTTTGTGGGGTTTGGGGAGGGAGACCCCAGGCCAGGCTCTGAGAGGGTAAGATGTCTGAGGTGGGGGGCCAGGGGCCTGGGGTAGAAAGAGAGATGAGTGGATTGGAAAAAGAGGGAGCCCTCTAAATTTCTCTTCTCCCCAACCCTGACTTCCTACTTAAGGGAGAAACCTCTTACTGGGTCTACCCTAATGGTGGGCCTTTGAATCGTGCCAAAAAAAGAAAAGAAAAAAATTATGCCAGTAGCTAAGCCACTTCTCTCTCTGTTCTCTTCTGGGGGGGGGGGGAGCTGGAAGTGGGAGGAAGGGATGGGGAAGGGGTACCTGTGGGGTTGGGTGGAGTTGGGGAACCCAGGCCCCTGTAGGAGTTAAAGCTAAGATCTGGACGGCTGGGGGCAAGGACAGCAATTTTCCATCCATCTCCTTCCTGGGGAAAGTTGAGAGAAGGTCTCTAAGCCCCGACTCTGGAAAGGTGAGCTGGGGACTAGCCGGGTGAGGACAGAGCTCTTGACCTGACTAGATTTCCTCACCAGTCCAAGTCCCAGGGCTGGGGAGACTGAATGAAAGAATGAGACAGCAAGACTGAGACACACGGGCCCCCACTGGTCTCCTAGTGGGACAAGGCTAGTGCGAGAGATAAAGGCCTCCAAGAGAAAAAAGAAACAAACCAAAGATTTAACCATTAAAAAAAAAAAAAACAAAAAAAAACCCACAGACAACTCCGCTACCTTTTTATACGTTGGAAAAAAAAGTGAAAAAATTAAAAAATAAAAATTAAAAAAAAAAAAACAAAAACACACAACAAAAAACCCCAAAAATAACACACAAACACTCCAAGCCGCGGTCCCCCGGTGTGGTTTGAATTTTGACCTCAGCAGTCTCCAAAGCAAGACAACGATGACAAAGGTGGAAAAAAATGTATATTTTTAAGTATTTGTCCTTGAGATGTTAGCTCCTTGTTAAACAAACCAAAAAGGAGAGAGGGAAAAAAAAAATCCAGAGAGGTGTTACTGGAATGGAGACAACTGCTTACTATGTGTGACCGCTCCCTTCTGCCTCCCCTTCCCCCACCTTTCCTCCCCCCACCCCAAAGCCCAGGGGCTCACTATTTATTTATTTATGTAATTGCAGGGTGCCTGTGGAGAGGGCCTTCACACAGATCATGGTGGGGGAGGAATGTTTGGGGTAAAAAAACAAGAGGCCTGATCTTTGGTCCCTTATCTCACTGCTGCCACCATCACCTTCCACACCTAGGGCTGCACTGGGACAAGGTGGCCATTTCACCTTGTGGAGATCCGGTCAGCTCCAGATCTGGTCTGTCTGGGGTAGGTGTCTCTTACCTGAAGGACCAAGATGAAATGGGAGGGGGATAGTGGACAGGGTAACCGAGGAAGTGAGTCGGCCCTGGAGCAGACCTGTCTTTCCTCCTCCACCGAGTCAGCCCCCCCTCAGTTCTGTCTGAGCCCGTGTTGGTCCCCCTCCCTGCCCTGCCTACACCCTCCCACCCTGAGTCAGCCCCACTCAGTTCTTTCTGAGCCCCTGTGTTGACCCCCTCCCTGCCCTGCCCATCCCTCACACCCTGTCTCTTCGTGGTAGCGGGCTAGCGTTTCAGTGTTCTTAACTCAAATCTGCTTGTTCATTGTACAATGTGGTTCTTTTAAGGCCCCATTTTTGTAACTTGAGTGTGTCATTCATCTGAACAACAAACTTCAAAAAATAAAAAATTAAAAACTGTACAGAGAACTAGTGCTGCCAGTCCTTGGTCTTCTCTCTGCCCCAGGAAGGGGGGGTGGGTAGCAGGGTGGGGGTGTTGTACTGAATGGGGGATGGTTTTCCTTTTGATCGAGAAGGGACTATTCAGTCATCTGAACAAATTTTTTCACCAGAAAAAGCAAGTCTTAGAACTTAAGATGTTCCGGGTGTGCAGTAGGTTCTCTAAAGTGTGGTCATTAACTGGCTTGAATTAAAATCTCAATTGATGGTGAAACATCATCTCACATCCTTTAGGCATGTTGTCAGGAGTGGCCAGTCTTTGGTGAAAGATATCCTGCTAGAAAAGTGGCCAGTCGGGGAAAGAGGAAGACCCTCCACAATATGGTTTGACATAGGGACTGTAACAATGGGCGGGAACCTAGCAGAGATGGTGATAGAGCAAGGTTCAGATCTGTTGTTCACATGGTCTCCCATCCAAGGACTAACCAGGCCCGACCCTGCTTAACTTCCAAGATCAGACGAGATTGGGCGCATTCAGGGTGGTATGGCCGTAGACTGTTCATAGGGTCTTGATGTCTGCTAACAACATCTGTAAGCAGAGTAACACAGTAGTTCCCTTACAGGGACAGGATACGTGTAAATGCGTGGGACAGATCTCTAGCACATGGCCTTCAATGAAAGGCTTTGAGAAAGCAAGGAACCTGCTAAATACTTCTCGCCTTCATCTCTGGAGGACCTTTAAAAAAAACCCTTTAAAAGCAGAGCTGAAGCTGTCTGGTGGCACAATATATATACCCTTTTCAGAGTGCTACTTCCATCCACAGAAAATACAGGCACCACCTTGATGTCATTTAGCAGGAACGACAGCAAGATCTCTACACTCAAAGTCAGAAGTGGTGGGTCACTGTGCGCTCTCCCCCACCACTGAGCAGGCCAAGTTTCCTTGCCACGCTCCCATTCTCTGATGTATGCCTGGCACGCTGGTGTCGGCTTCCTCAAAATTCAACAGCAAAGGGTGGAGATGGGAGACAACAGGAGAGAGGGCCCGAGTGGGAGGGTCTTCAAATCTAGTAAATTGGTTAAGTACTGGCAGGGCATAATTTTTGGCAAGATTGAAGGAAAAAAGCATCTCTTACCCTCTCAAGTCAATAGGGAGGGATAGACAAGCTCTGGTGGCCTAGTGGCAAGAAGCTGCACTGCAATCTCAAGTCAATAGCGATGAAGGTGTGGGATGTAGGGATGGAAGTTGAGAACAATAACCTCATCAGGGTCATTTGGTACAGTCTCCAGCCTGTGGGTTGATGAAGTCAAAAACACAGACCTCAAAGTACATACCACAGCATCTTGAAAAGCAGACAGCTACTCCAGCTTACTGCTTGTCTTCATGCTTCTACCTGTATCCCCATGAATACGTCCAACTCTGGACTTGTTCAAAGTGCAGATTCCTGGATCTCGCTACAGGTCTACTTGCTGAATCTCAATCTCTGGGAAAACTGGCAAATCCTAGCACATCGTAAAGCCAAAGAACCTTTGCGTGCCCACCACAAACAGCGGCAATCAACAGGATTTAACTGGTGTCACCTTTTTAAAAGACAATAGTTCCTTACCTGAGGATCAGGGGATTTTCAACAAGATGGTGGTATACAACAAATGCCCCGAGTTTGTGCACATAAACATTTATTTCTCAGCGTGGAAATGCAAAGTACACACTCCAAAAAAAGAAAGAGGGAAGGATGATCACTCCACCACCCTCGAGCCATTTTTCTCTGCTTAAAACATCTTTGTATGAGGTCAACCAGCACCCTCCCCTCTCCATTCCTGTCCCTTGACTCAGCCTAGTTTGTTTTTTTTTAGGAAAAATAGATCCTTCCAGTTGTTCTGTGCACTTATTAGATATAGCTATTAATGGAGTTAGGAAGTTTTTCTATCTCTTCAGGAGAGGAGGCACAGTTCAGGAGCAATCTTTTTCTGGAAATTAAAGGATCTGGCACCCTGCAACTTTAGGGACATAATGCCTTATATAGTGTATTACTAACTGAAAGGTCAATGGTTCAAATCCATTAGCTGCTTCTCTGAAGATCTACAGCCTCAGAAACTGGTAGAAGACTGACCATTAGAACTGACTTATCAGGCAACAGGTCTAGTTTTTAGTTCGAGGTCATGTTGGGCAAAGGTGCCAGGGTGGTGTCAAAAAGTCTGTGTTGGATTACTGAAAGGTTGGCTGTTTGAACTCACCCAGTGGGGCTGCAGAACAAAAGGCCTGGCAATCTGCTTCCATAAACCTTATTGCCAAGATAACTATGAGGAAGGCAGGTCTCCTCTGTAAATGGGGTCACAATGGTGTCAGAAGACACAAGTTTTGTTTTTTCTTTTGTTAGCATGCTGAGTTACGATGGCTCAAGGATCTTCTATAGAGTCCAAGGTTTCTGAAAGACGGTGCATGGGTAGATGCTTTTTCTTTCAAAAACTGTTAATAAGCACCAAAATCCTGCTGGCATCTAATGCCTACTCATAGTGACAGCACAGGACAGAGGCTGGCCTCATAGGGTCTTCCGAGTTGTCATCTTTCTTCCCTAGAAGAGCTTCTTAAAAGTAGTTTGTTTGGGTTTTTTAACAGTTCTATTAGTGGCAGAGGAAACCTGATTTCTAACATGGTTGAGCAGCACCTAAAGCAGGATTTTTCAAACCATTTCTTTAAGCCTCACGGCCTACAGGCAGTCACAGATAGGAGTTGAGTGAGGTCTTTTTCTTTACCCTGATTTCACTAACATATAGTTTCCCATTCAGATCTCCTTCACTGAGTTTCCAAATAACACCCCTCCTCCCCCCCCCAAAAAAGGATCTTGATCAATAGGAGAGGGTAGAATGATTGTTCTTTGGCTATGGGTCTTAGCCATTAAAACTCTATGGAGTAGTCAAGCAGTTACTGTTATGTGCTGTTGAGTTGCTAGTGACTCAGTGACCCTATGTACGCCCTGAAACCTGCTCTATCCTGTGCCTACCTTATTGTCTCTGACACATCTACCCTCATTAACCCAGTCACTGAATTAGTACATTTCATTGAGAGTCTTCCTCTCTTGTGCTGTCCCTCCACCGTTCCAAGCATGATGTCCCTCTCTGAGGACTGATCCTTACTTGCAAACATGCCCAAAGTAAGTCTGGCAAATGAACTTGTTTGTTCTTCTAGTAGTCTATGGTATATTCAATCCTCTTCTCCAGCACTACAGCGCAAAGATATCAATTCTATCATCTCTAGTCACCATTCAGCTTTCTGACACATAGCAAGTAAATGTGAAGACTATGGCCTGGATCAGGTGCACCTTAGTCTCCAGACTGAAAAAGTGAGGGAAAATGTGGGGTTGCTGTCACAGTTAAAAAGTCATTTCTAGATTAACTTTTAAATACAATGTTGTAAGTAACAGGATAATATCCATATGCATATAATGAAGTCCAATGAATACTACTATCATTCAAATAAATGCACCAACAACTATAGCCAAAGAGGGGGAACTAGAAGATTTCTACCCAGCTTTTGTAGTCAGAAATCGAATGAATCAAGATGCATGAATAATAATAATAATGGCTGACTGGAATACTAAAGTTGTGAATAGAATCAGTAGTTGGAAAACAAGGACTTGGTGACAGAAATGAAGCTGGAGACAGAATAACAGAATTCCGTATATTCAATGACTTATTAACTGCAAATACTTTTGTAAGAAACACAAACACAGGCTATACACATGGATTTCACCATGTGCAAGAATCAGATGAACTGCATCTGTGAAAAGAATTGTTAGAGAAGCTCAGTCTCAGCTGTGAAAACTAAGCCAGGTACTGACTGTGGAACAGACTGACTGCTCATATGCAAGTTCAAGCTGAAGTTTAAGAAAATCAAATCCACAGGGATAGCCAAGAGTGAAGAGTTAACAACTGATAATTTTCTTATGGATTCTAGACAAGACCAGCACAGCCACTAAGCCTTCCCAGTCAGACCTCCTTGTCTCCTTCCTCCCTGCCCATTCTCTGCTCCACCAAGTATCTTGAAGGCACCAAAGCAAAGAGAAAAAACACAATGGAGGCCAATACCAGGTGCCGGCTTTGCCCAGTTTTGGGCTGAATGACCTCAGTTCAGTCATCTCACCGCTTTAGAGTTCAAATTTCCTTCCCTACAAAACTTTGACCTCACTGGACTAGTGAGAAGATACAAAATAATGGAAGACTGCACTTGAGACTAAATTTGCAGACACCAGTCACTAACACATCTGTAAGCTGAGCCAAATTTCTGCTCCAGGCGGGCTTCAGGGCCCCTCTTCTTACTAAGCTTCCTACTCTGTCCACACATTACTTGGAATGTTCTCTAACTCCACAGATGGGTCTGGTTCACGGAACCTCCACTCAATGCACCCCAGAGATGATGACTTTCCCTACCATTCATTTACTCTTAGGAGTGTATGAGAAAACCAGACGGCCTTGGGGTGCACAGTCCACATCAGGGCAGGATATTGGGGAACTGGTGGTGAGGGGACAGAATTCTCCAAATGGTTTGGACACCCACCAACTGGTACAGCGTCAAGCTTTACTGTAGGGCTGTGGAGCCCTCTAGTGGCCAAGGAACCGTGTTGCCTCCACCTGGCACCAGCAGGGTCTTCAGCTGAGAACTGGTTAGAAGTTAGGTCTTGTGGAGCCCGGCTTCCTCTTTTACTGACCCTCCACCTTTCCAAGAAATGGCCTCTTAGCAACACGCTCAAACTATATGAACTGAAGCTTTGCCATCCTCACCTCTAAGAAGCAATCTGGCTGCACTTTCAGGGGATTTTTTTTGGCAAAAATCAGTGACCCTATGACAACAGATCTGAACCCTGTCCTATCTACCCTGAGCTATCCTCATAGTTGGCATTCTTGAGCCCATCACTGCGGTCACTGTGTCTATCTTGTTGAGAGTCTTCCTCTTTTGCTGACCCTCTACCTTTCCAAGGATGTTAGGAGAGGAATGGCCTAACAAAGGTTTACTGTGTGCCCACCATCTGCCAGGGAGCTCTCACAGACCACAAGGAACTGCAATGCTAGCTCAGTGTCAGCACTATTTTGGCAGGTGTACTGCTGGAGAAAGATGGGCAATCTCCTATGCGATTTACAGCTTCTTGAAAACCCACTGGAAGATCAGCTATGAGTAGGGTCTAACTTGATGGCAAGGAGATTTGAGTGTTTTTTAAAAGTCTACTTGCCAAGCCTGGTTCAAGGCACCGAGAACACAGCTGTGAAAAGACTCAGTAACTATCTCATTGCTCCAGAATTCCACCCCACACAAAAAGGCCTGAGGAGAACACAAAAAAAATGTCCAACTCGGTCTTTATTTATCGATAGCTGCACCCTGTGGCCACCAGGGCTAACTGGTGGCAAGTAGGGAGCTCGGGGGGAAGCTTTGTGCAGATCAAGGATCTCAAAGCACCCCAAGAAAAGAAATCCAGTTACAGACCTTACTACACGATGGTTGAGAGGGAGGGCACACTATGTACAGAGATTAAAGGGATTTGGGAAGAGGATCTCCAGTATCAGGACATGAGGATGCTGAACAGGAAAAGGGTCCAAGTCAGCCACTTATCTGGACACCCTCGGCCTCAGCCAGGGGGTAGATCTCGATGGCCTCTACCAGGGGCAGGGCCTCCACTGCAGTCTCCATCACAGCCAGGCCCACGGCAGCCTCGGCTTCTGCCAGCTGCTGCCGCACGGCTGCCTGGTGCTGCTGCTGATGAGTCTTGCGGTGCTTCCAGAGGTTGGAGAAGGAGCGGTAGCTCTTGCCACAGTCGGGACAGGAATAGGGCCGCTCTCCTGTGTGGATGCGGCGGTGTTCTGCCAGGCGCATGGAAATGGCGAAGGCTTTGCCACACACTTCACAGGCAAAGGGCCGCTCACCAGTGTGCAGGCGTCGGTGGTCCTTTAGGTGGGTACTCTGCCGGAAGGCCTTGCCACAATCTGGGCAAGGGTAGGGCCGCTCACCCGTGTGGATGCGCCGGTGCACCTGCAACGATGTCTCTGTGCTGAACAGCTTCTTGCACTCGCTGCACTCCAGACCCCGGCGGCGAGCAGGGGCTGAGGGGGCCGTGGCAGCAGGACCTCCCAGAGCTGTTGGGGGGGTGACTGGCATGCGTGTGGCCCGTGGGGCTCGGGGGGCCGGGGGCTCCTTAGCTAACACCTCTCCGGGCCCAGCGGCTGCATGGGCTGCCTCATGGGCCTGAAGCCGGGCCGCCGAGCCCACCTTCTTGCCACAGGTGCCACACTCAAAGCGCCTGGGTGCCTGGGTGGCAGCAGCGGCACAGCGGTGCTCCCGCAGCCTCAGCGAGGAGGGAAAGGCAGCCCCGCAGGAGGAGCACCGGAAGGGCTGGCGCCCAGCATGGACCACCAGTTGATGCACCTCCAGCAGCCTTCGCAGCAGGAAGGAGCGGGGGCACTCGCGGCACTTGTAGGGATACTCGCCCGTGTGGTGGTAGCGGTGCATGAGCAGGCGGTAGGGCCGGTGGAAGCGCACCCCGCACTCCTGGCAGCGGTAGGGGAAATGCTGGGCGTGCACCAGGCGGTGCTGCCTCAGCGTGGAGCTCTGCGTGAAGGCTTTGCCACAGTCACCGCAGCGGTAGGGCCGCTCCCCCGTGTGTGTGAGTCGGTGGCGGGCCAGATTGGCTGGGGAGTTGAAGGGCTTGGAGCAGTCAGGGCAGGAGAAGGGCCGCTCCCCCGTGTGTGTGCGAAGGTGGTTGCGCACGTGAGACTTCTTCTTGAACATCTTGCCGCAGATCCCACATTTGTGGCGCCGCTCTAGTCGGTGGACAAAACGCTGGTGTCGGGTCAACTGCAGGGCTTTGCCAAACTCCCGGCTGCACAGGAGGCAGCGATAGGTGCCCGGGGTTGGGGGCTCTGCTGAGCTTTCCTCGGACACGGGGGGCTCAGGTGCTGCTGGCTCACCAGTCTCCGCTGGGGCCGGCTCTGGTAGACCAATGACAGGCTCCTCTGGGGGAACTGGAGTTGACGGCAGAGGGACGCCCCCTGCCCCATGGGTACGCCGGTGATAGAGGAACTTGGTGAGATTGACGAAGGTCTTTCCACATGGACATGAATGCAGTGGATTTGGGGTGTGGGCTCGCCGGTGGGCGAGGAGGAGGGCCTCTGTGCCAAAAGCCAGGCCACAGTCCACACACAGGAAGTGCGACTCGCTGCTATGGTCCCCAAGGTGCTGGTCCAGACTAGAGGGGCTGGGGAAGACACGACTGCACAGTGGACACTTGAAAACACCCTCCCGATGACTGCGCAGATGCTGCTGCAGCTGATGAGGTGACAAAAAGAGCTGGTCACAGGCTGAGCAAAAAAGTTCCTGGGCAGCGGCCCCTGCCGACTCCCCGCTATTGCTCCTCCGGGTCCTGCGCCCTCGGCGATCACGCCCGATGGCTTCACCGTTACGCAGCTCGTAACTGTGGTCTGAGGCTGGCAGGGGATCAGGCTGAGTCACAGGCACCTCTATGGGTGTTGCGGCCACCACAGTCTCTTGTTTTATGGCCGGCTCCTCAGACTCGGGGGCAGGAGCCGGGAAGTGGGTGGCCTGGTGCTCGAGGAAGTCGGCTGGCAGCTGGAAGAGCTGGGAGCACTCAGAGCACTTGTACAGGAGCAGCTCCACCTCAGTCACAACCTCGGTGGTGGTAGCGGCAGCAGAGGGGACGGCCGCCCCTTCCCCACCTTCTTCTGCCTTTCGGTAGGAGTGCTCCACAGCCACACGAGCCTGGCCCACAGGGGGCACTAGGACAACTGGGGAACCCAGGACAACGGGGGCTGGGGACTTGGTGGGTGTAGCTCGGAGGTGTGTCTGCCTGTGGCTCAGCCACAGCTCCTGGTTGGCAAAGAGAGCCTTGCAGTCCACACACTCGTAGTGGATGGTGCTGGAGCTCAGGGCTGGGGCCTTGGGGGGTGGCTCGGCTGGCACTGCCTCCTGGGGCGCCATCATCTTCAGATGCAGCTCTTGATGCTCCAGGAGCTGGCTAGGTGACATGAGGAGCTGCCCACACTCCAGGCACTGGTACTGGCTCTCCTGAACGAGGGTCTGGTAGAGGCCCGAGCCCGTGGAGGCCTCTGTGGCCACAGTAACGCCAGGGTCAGCCACACCCACCAACTCGAAGTGCTGCTGGGGCACGTGGGAGTTCTGGTGCACCAGCACCTCCTCCAGGGATCCATAGAGCTGGTTGCATTCAGAGCAAACATAGCGGTGCTCAATGTACAGGACTGTCTCCTCCGACTCCTCTGTCATGGCGGCAGCAAGGCCCTGGGCTGGTAAAGGGAGAGAGAGGTTGGGGCAAATCACAGCCAAGTGACTGCTACCTTGGTCCTTCTACGGGCAGCGCTTTCCCTTTTCCACTCTCTCCTCCCAAAACCTTACATTTCCTGCTCCAATTTCTTCCTTAGTTTTCTCATTCCCCAACACCCTTCCTTCTGATCACACAAAACACAAATCTTCCCAGCAGTCTCTTCCCAAGTATCACCTCTGAAATCAACTCACATAAAACCCTACCCACTAGATCCTTATAACCCCATCAATCCCCCTTCCACTCAAGTACTTCACAAGTGATCCCACAAACCTCACCTTAGACCTCTCTGCTCACGTCTTTTAAAAATCCTGCTACTCTACTCCCCTCCTCAAGCTACTACCCAGACCACTCCTAATGCCTTGCCACTCCACTTCCAACACCCATCCACAGGCAAGCCTCTCCTTCAACTCTTTGAACTCACCCTCTGGTACTCCTGTTTCCCACATGAATATCAACTTTTCCTAATTACATTCTCTCCCACTGATCTAGCCTGTCTACAAAGCTAGACTTTCCCCAACATAACCACTTCTCAGTGGCATCCAGATGCTCCGTTTTTACAATACTGAAAACATCTGTGAAAAAACTTTCTTCTTTCTTTACACCTTCTCATCTGCTTAACTCTTTCAAGGGTACCTGGTCACCTTCTTCACATTATTCACCCCTTTTTTCTGCACTCAGACTACACTATTCTGACCCTCTCTGGACCCTTTCCCCAATACCCTCTCTCTAACCTATCCCAAATATTCCCAGATCACCTTGTCACCTTAATCTAATCTCTCCCTATCAATGGAAGTCTTTTTTCCTCCATTCTAATCCAGTCCAGGCATGCCCTATTCACTCTTCATATGTGTTTAACATCGACTTTGTAAAAGAGATACTGCACACTTTTTAACTCTTCTTTCACAATGGCTTAATAACCCCTTTCAAACATACTTCTCTTACTGACCCAAACGGCCTTTCCCAGACCACCTCCTCCAGATGTCTTTTCCTTACAACCAAACCTCCCTCAACAGCCTACTACTCTGGGCATACTTGAACCTCCAATTAATTCATCAATCTAACATCTCTTTTTAAGGCCATCTGGCCCCACCCTTCACCCTGACCCAACCCTTCATACTTCTGAAAAGGAAAACTACTCTTCGGACCCCCAGAAACTATTTTCAGGTTATGTAACTCCTTTGCACTGGGAACCTTCTCCACCTGATCCAGTTACTTTTAAGTCCCACTTCTAATGGGACATAATTGATCCTTCACGTTAATTGATCCCGAATCCCCACCCTTGGGCCTCTCCTTCCCTCTAAACCCGCCCTTTATAAATGCCTCTCGCAAACGGACAGTGAGGCTTCGTCTCCCATACTCTGGGCATGCTGTTAGGAAAGGCTATTCTCTGGAGAAGGTGGATTGACAGTGACCACAGCAATGGGCTCGAGCGTGTCGGCGACTGTGAGGACGGCACAGGTCAGGGCAGGCTCGGCCCGCTGTTCACACAGGGTCGCTAAGAGTCTACTCCAAGGCACTTAATAATAACACCACCACCACCTCTTTTGTCCACACCCCTCTAACGGCTCCAGTCCTTTCCAAAAATAACTAATTATTCTCTTTCCATTAACTTAATCCCTTCTTTTCCTAAAACGTATACGCCTTTCCCCCGGCACCAGAGTGCCCTTTCACCTTACCCCTCCCCCGGTCCGGAGCCCGTCCCACCGCCAAGCCCTTCGCCTCAGGATATCCCATGGGGCCCCAGAGTCCTCGGCCGGGGCTGCCGTAACGCCTTCCCTTCGCACACAGCTCGCTCCCAGGCCCCGGCCCGAGCTCCGCCCCTCCTCGCACGGCCCTCCGCGCCTCTCTAGGCCCCGCAGCCCGTGAGCCTCGCCGGCCGTTGGGGGCCGCCCCACCCCTCACTGCCCAACGCACCCCCACCCTCCGCTGGCCCTCAGTGCGCAGGCGGGCTAATGAGAAGGCCGCAGCCGGGAGACGGAGCCGTCCAGCCGGCCCTCAGCGTACGCGCGCTCGCACTCACCCGCCTCCGCCGTCTCGTGTACCCCGGGCCCGGGCCCGGGCGGCCGGTCCCCTTGGGCAGCCACTCTCACGCAAGGCCCTCTTTAGCTCGTGCCGTCGCCTCTCGCCTCCTCCAAGGCCTCCCTCTCGCCCCCAGCCGCCCTCAGTAAAGCCCCTCCCACCTTCCTCCTCGGTCGCTTCGCTCACGGCCGAGCGCACCCAATCACCGCCCGTCTGACTCCTGCCATTTGGCCAATCAATGCTCAAGTCTCTGAGGTTTAGGCCAATAGTGCGGAGCGCGGGGCTGTTCCGCAGCGCTCAACCAATCCTCTAGAGACATTTTCTCACCGGTCGGCCCCCGAGTTGGTCGTGCCCGCCCCCTTAAGTCCATTGGAGGATGCTCCTTTTCCACCTCCGGATTGACTTCGCCTCTGACGAATCAGCGCGGGCAGCGCGATGATGTTACCGGGAGAGCGGGGCTGCGGGCGCCATGTTGGGGACGTCGGGGCGGGACTCAGACTTAGCGGTCGGGGGGATGCTGGGGAATGGAAGCTTGCGACACCTGGAGGGCGGGGATGCACTGGTGGGAGTTGAGGCGCCGGCACCCCAGGGGTGAAAGTTAGCCCCTCGAGAAAAGGAGAAACTAATGCATGCGGAGGCAAGAGTAGGGGAAATCAAGGCTCCACACTCACTTCTAGCAAGAAGTTAGCAGGAAGGAAGGGACAAAACCCCGAAGCTCCCTGGGAGAGGGAACAAGGAGAGGGGCTCAAGAAAACACGACAGCTAACGGAGGAAATAATGGCACGTAGAGGAAGAGGAAAAAGAGAGCAGGTCATTTCTTTGGAAGAAACAACAAAACATTTCATTGCAGTCAGAATTGCCTGAGAGCTGACCCTCCAGCAAGCCAGGGCATAAACTGCACACGAGATTACCCATCTCCCTCTGTCAGAGCAGCAGACAGATTGGACGCAGCAGATTTTCTGAGTGTATAAACCGCACCCGAGAAGATTACCCATATTTTTCTGGCAGAGCAGTTGGTAGATTCGAACTTCTTGACTCTGGATTGACAGCTCAACTCCTATCCTTTGGGCTACCAGAGCTTCCTTTTGGATGAAAAAGAGTGTAAAAAGGGGTGGCAAGGAGAGGACCTGAAAGATCTTCAAGTATAATATCCTAAAGGAAGTCATCCTGTAGCCGATTCAACTGTTTCCTTCACAATACCATCTTTTCTCACCTGCCCCTTCTGGCCCTTAAATCACGGAGTGAGTTAATCACTTCTGTTAGAAACTGGGCCCTGAGAGAGGACAGCAGTAAAAAAGCCTGGAGAGATTGATTTCATCTAACCTTAGATGCAGAAGTGTAGGGTCAGAGAACTTGAGTAATTTATCCAAGGTCAAAGAGCTATGGCAGGTGTTGAACACACTAAAATCCAGGTCAAATAAGGATGCCGATGGCTTTGTGTTGTGGTGTTGGAAAAGAGCACTGACTCTCCCTCCCTTGGACTGCCAAGAAAATAAACTTTCTTGGAGAAAGTGAAAAGGGTGTTCTTTAGAGGCAAAACTGTTGAAACTCCATCTCACATACTTAGGTCATGTTGTTAGGAGGCGCTAGTCCTTGGAGAAGGGCATGATGCTGGGAAAGGTGGAGGGTCAGTGTAAGAGAAGACTCACAACAAGATGGATTGGCACAGTAGCTGCAGCAATGGGTTCAAGTATTTGAGATGGTGAGAATGGTACAGGATAGGGCAAGGTTTCAGATCTGCTGTTCATAATAGGATTGCTTGAGTCAGAGTCCACTCAATGGCACATAAAAGTAGCTTTAGGTGATGTTTTAGTTAACAGAGGTGTGCTAACACAAAAGCAGCATCTCTGACGATTCAAGTAGGTCCCTGGCTTCTTGATTTGAGTGATTTACAGCCTCCTGAAAACCTGCTGAAGGGGCAGCTATAAGTCTGTTGCAACTAAACAACGAGAGAAAGTATCATCTACAACGAGAGAAAGTATCATCTTAGTATGTAATATATCAGACTATTAACAGAAGAGTTTGTGCTTCAAATTCACCAGCCACTCTTGAGAGAGAAAAAGGGGCATTCTCCTCCCATAAAGATTTACAGCCTTCAACACTTAGGGAGGATTCCATAAATTGGATTCCCCCCACCCCACCCCCACTCCCAATGTACAAAGGAAGGAAAGGCAATCTGTTTCCATAAAAATCTTAAAGTCTTGAAAACCATATGTTGTTGAGTACTGGCAAGTCAGAACTGGCTCATAGCTGACCATCAAGTGGGTTTTCAGAGGCAGTAAACAGCTCAGGAGATTCCCCATCTACCTCCCACAGAGCATCTGGTAGGTTATGTACCTTTGAGTTGGCAGCTCAATTCCTTGCCACTGAGCCACCAGGTTTCCCTTCAACTTGGATCATCATGAGATCAAATCAATCCCCCTAACACCCGAACCAGGCTGCCTGGATTAGAATCCAAGGCTTGCCATTTAGTTGTGACCTTAAGCAAGCCAGTCACTCTGTGCCTCAGTATTCTTATCTGTGAAATGGGCATGATAGCAGCCCTTGTCTCTTTGAGTTGTGGGGTGCAAAGTTAAAGCTATGTAAGAGTTATTTTCATATTTGAGTGAGCTTTATAATAACATCTGAATTTGACAGATAATTATGTTCAGTTCTTTACATGCGTTGTTATGTGCCATCAAATTGAACCTGACTCATAACTTGCCCTTCAGCGTGTTTTCAGAGACTATAAATCATACAGGAGGAACTGCCTATCCTCCCTGCTCAAAAGCAACTGGTGGGTTCTAAGCATCTGCCTTTGGGTCAGTAGTGCAATTCCTTACCCACTAGCTCACCAGAGCCTAGGTGTATTAATTCTGCTTATCCTCTAAACAACAAAAAGGACTACTGTCTTGATTGTACAAAGAAACTGAGGCCCTGAGAAAGTAAGTAACTTGTCCAAGTTCCTGGAATTGCTGATATAGAGCCAAGATTTCAACCGAGGAGTTAACGCCAAGGTTTACCCTCTTGGCCCCCAGGCTCTACTGCTTGCCAGGTGGGATGCTCTATAGTTGAGTGCTGAAAGAATAAATGCGACAGTAGAGGAAAGATGGTGAAGAGATTGAGATTGTTCACAGCTTTAGTTTGCTTGGCTCTACAGTCAACACTCTTGGCACCAGCAGCCAGGAAATTAAGACATACTGTGATGAGAAAGTGTACTGTTAGGGACCTCTCCAAGGTACTGAAGAGCAATGATATCTTTCTGGAGATTAAGGTGCATCAGATACACGCCATGGTCTTTGCAATCACTTGTTATGCATCAGAGAGTTGGACAATGACTAGGAAGGATAGAAGGAGAATTGGTGCCTTTGAGCTGTGGTGCTGGAGAAGAGTATTAAGTGTACCAGGACCGCTAAGAAAACAAACAGATTAATCCTGGAGAGGGTTAAACCGGGCTGCTCCTTGGAGGCAAGGATTCTGAGGCTTCATCTGACATACTTCGGACATGTTGTAAGGAGAGACCAGTCCTTGGAGAGGGACATCATGCTTGGGAGGGTGGAGGGACAGTGCGGGAGGGGAAGACCCTCTATGAGGTGGATTGATTCAGTGACTGGGGTAATTGGGATGGGTGTATCAGAGACAGTGTGATTGGCACAGGACAGAGCAGAGTTTAGGGCGTTGTATATAGGGACCTCACATAACAACAACAAGAGTAAAGAAGCTGGTGACATCACTAAACTTAAAGCTGGGCCCAACTTGCTCTACAGCAATACGGCTTTGCCCTTAGGGTGAAATCTAGGTGGGAGTCATAAAAACCTTTAACAATTTACATGCCTTTAGGCAGGTTCTGGATCCTTCTGAAGCCTATTTTCACCCTTTAGAAACCTTTCTTTGAGTCTACTTCCTACCTTACATAATTGTGAAGATTAAGTAGACTTTTTTTTTTTTTTTTTAATGAGAGTTCCTGATTGGCTTCTAGGGCCTCTTTTTTTTTTTTTTTGCGACAAACGACATTTATTCACTAGGGCCTCTTTTTGCGTAGACTTTTTGATTGGACCAGTCAATCTGTCTTGGCTATTTAGGCCCCTTTTCTTCAGATGATAAAGAAGTGATGTAAAGTTTCTGTCAGTCTTTCTAGAGGTTGTGGTGGTGGAGCAAATACATCTGTGTTCTGCCTGTGCTGGGGTCCCTGTATCTTCAAAGGCATGTCTGGCGTGTCTGGAATTGAAGGGATAAGGGCAAAGGTCAAATTCATTGCCTTGGAATTGGACTCTGCTCATAGCCAGTCCTCTGGTTGCATAGAAAGACATCGTCTGTCCCATCTTTCTCTGATGGAGTTGCTGATGGATTCAAACTGAGAGGCAACGCCTTTGTGTTAGCTTTGCAACTCCCTGTGGACTATACCTTGTTCTCTTGTGTTGTTGTCTTCTAAATACTGAACAGGGTGGTTGTGTGTGCATGCAGGGTTGGTGGTCTGATGTTTGTGTTGAGGATACCCTGCCTACCATCTGCCCTGCTCTAACCGTGTCAGGCGGGTGTTTGGTCGGAGAGTTGCCATGTGCCAGATGTGTGCATGCACGAGGCATTGGATCACGTGTGCTGGGGGCCCCACGTGAGTGTGTCTGTGTCTCCTCCCCATCACGAGCATGGGGGTGGTAGTGAGTCATGGGCTCAGCCTTCAGCGCCAACTGTCATGTTCCTTCCCCCCAAGTTTCACCCCCCACTCCAAGATCTATGTTGCTTCTCTCCTCCATCCGCCTGCCCTGCCTGGCTTCCTCTGAGGCTGTTCAGTCTCCCGTTTCTCCAAGCTTGGCCCCTCTCCTCCTCTGCCCTTGTGGTCACCCATTCCTGCTCCATTTCCACAGCCTCTCTACTGTGATGATGACAGGACAAGGGCCTCCTTCACCCACCCACAAATCTCGAGGGGGTCCCGTGTAGTCTGGAAAATTCCTATACTCACCACCCATACCCTCACCTCCCTGGGTCTTTGTCTTCATGAATTGGCCATTCCTGCCTCAGTGGGCCTCTTGTGTCCAGGAGCCACATCCTTGT